CATGAGCCCTAGTGGTGATACAACGTTTTACCTCACGTTGCCCAAGGACCATCCTATACCTGGCCGTGGTATAGGAAGCTATCTTTACTAAGTGGATCCACTAGCTTAACTTTCGTGATTATCTAAAAAGTATGACCCGAGAAAATCCCATGTTGGCCGCATGGTTCTTATGGAGAGTTGAGTTAATATGAACTCGTGTCCCCAACTCGGTGCTCAAGACTACTCCCAAAAATATACTTTAGCTCATAAGTGTTTTAAACACATCTTTCTTTAGTTTGAGATAATTGCTCAAAATCTAGCCCAAAGGCTCACTTGGAATCGATGTTCCTTTCTTACTCAAATGTAAAAACATTTAGAAACTTCTTTGGGAAATACATAGTTCCCTAATAACCTTTGTGAAATGGACTTGACTTTATGCTCTTAACTTAACTTGAAACTTAAGACTCTTTACTTAGCTTGAACTCTATACTCTTTACTCGACTTGAAACTTGAACCTTAAAACGAAGGTAGAATGTTTAATAACGACTCTTGAAAAGCTTTAGCGACTTGCTTGAACTTACTTCTTAACTTTGCTTGACTTGACTCTAACTTCCCTTAACTTCGATCCTAACTTGCCTTGAATTGAACTATGGATTCAAGGTATATGATCACATGTTTATGGATGAGTTTGGGATGTCTAAATGTACCTTAGAGTGTTGGAAACAACTATAAAACATAAGTACAATACCAAGGAACATGTATGAGAAAGTGTGTAAAGAATGGGGGAACTTGACGTCCTTGGCGCTCTGCAAGGCGCGGAGCGCCAACCCTTGAAGCTCAGAAGGGACCTGCTGGCGCTCTGCTAGGCACGCCACCCCAAAGGCTGGACTTCAGAGTTCCTTTTGGGGGGCGCTGCAGGCGCAACGCGCCAGCCCCTTGCCCAGAAAATCTGACTTTTCTCCCTCTTTTTCCCAACTCTAAATCACCCTAACTTCAATGGATTCAACCCCAAACACTAAGGATCATAAAAATCCCTCAACATACAAGAGATTCAACTCAAACATACAACCAAATCATGTCCCACAACCAACAAGAACTTCAACATCAACAACACAACCCAACAACTTCAACAACATAACCAATCTTTTCTCGAAATTAAAACGAGTTTGGTGTGTGGGGGAAAGGATCAACCCAACACTATGAACTCACATACCTAGTAGGGATCACCCCCGACGATATCCACGACGATCCTTGACAGAAACTTGCTTGATCTCCTCTTGCTTCTCTTCTTCTCCTCTTCTTCTCCTCTTCACTCTCAAGCCCTAGCTCTCACTCTTAAAATGGGACAAAAATGATCCAAAAATCAGCCTAACACACAATATAACCCCAAAAGAAATAGCTAGGGAAAAGACCAAAATGCCCTTAAAATTTCCGAACGGATTCCCTGCCAACTGCCCAACTTTCCAAGGGCATAACTCGCTCATACGAACTCGGAATCGAGCAAACTCGGTGGCGTTGAAAAGATCATTCCACAATATTTACAATCATAACTGGAACCACTCCTAACTCATCCTGAGCTAGGAGTTATGACTGCTCAAAGTTGGCCAAAACTCACTAATTTCCCACACTTAACCAAATTTCCAGATTTAGAATTTTATTCCAAAAATGACTATTTCCGATTTTTAAGCCTCTTCATAGTTATTTCAACCTACCGGATGTTACAATCCTACAGCTTGGTTGAGTTCTCTATGCATCGTCCTTCTATGCCATGGTTGTCGTTATTTTTCTTTCTATCATGTTTTGTCTACGTTTCTTTTGAGCCAAGGGTTTACTGAAAACCACATCTCTATCCCTCAAAGATAGGTGTAATGTGTGTTTAAATTCTACCCTTCCATCCCAAACAACACTTGTGGGATTACAGTGCGTATGTTAGTTGTTCTTGAAAAAGTAAGATATATAGTAATATCAAAATGTCTATCTCATACAACTGCCTTGGGTTTATGACCTTGAATAGATTTCATTCGCATCTCTCGTTGTTTTCATAAGGTTGAATTTTGAGAAATACAAATTTCAGACTCAAATCTAAAACTAGGCCATTTATTTCATATCCTTTCCATTTACAAGTTATTTGACACCTTTTCTCCGACATAAAGATCAGGTATTGTTCTAGCCTTCTAGGATAGGTATTCTGAAATACCAGTTGGACTACTGGCCATGGGCTTAAGAGCCTATGATTAATTTTCTTAACAGTAAAAAATGGTTTTTGCCAAGAAAAGGGAAACAACAAACAATGAGACGTGGTTTGTTAAATATGCACTAAAGTTTCTTATACTAAATTTGAACTGTACTGCTTTTACTACATTTTTATTTTTAACTAGCTAAAACTTCTTGATGTTTGTAGATTGCCACTTACAAAATGTTATATATTTTATTTTATCGGTTTGAGTATATGTACTAATTAAGCTTTCAGTTATTTATGTTTACCAACCCTTTTATATAATTCATACTCTCCATAAGGCCCAATATCTATAGTTTCTCTTTTCCTGTCATTTTTCTAGTCCCAATAGAGACAAATAGTTTTGCCTCACGTTTATTTCTTAGCACTTAGTCTCCTTTGTTTCTGCTATATGATCGGTTGTTATGGGCTTTAGAACAATTGTATCTTTGAGACAGGGAAACCTTGCAGTGCATGTGTCTAGCCTATTTGATGTTGTTGTCCATGACATCTATCTTTCTTTTTTCTTCTTTTAACTAGAGGATTAATCTGTATCTGGAAAGATTGGCAGTCGACTTGAAGTTGATTTGAGCCGCAATTAGTATCATGACTCGGTAAGAAATTTTTATCCTCTTTATGTTTCTTGTTACGATGTCATTTGTTCTTCACTCTTTATTTCCTTTTGGAATTTATCTTTTAAGATCCATATAGGTGATAGTCACTAGTTGAGGATACGTTTTAGACTTGTTCGAGAACTTTTACTATTATTACGGAAAAGGGCCAAAAATACCCCAACATATGAAAAATGGTCATAAATATACTCCTTTCACATTTTGGTCTTAACATACCCTCAACCCTTGTTTTTTTGGCTTAGTTATATCCTTCCTTCTACCTTTTGGTCTAAAAATACCCTCAACCTTTGTCTTAGGCATCCTTAAACCCAAAACAAAGGTTGAAGGTAGTTTAGACCAAAACGTGGAAAGAGGGGTATGTGAAGACTGCTATCTAAATTTAGACTAATCAAACGTCCATCTTGATCTCCAGGTTGAATTTACTAGGCATAGGTTTTACCCATATTACTGATATGTTTGTAAAGTATTGGTAACGCATAATTGAATATATATTTGAAGTCTTAATATCGATGTTTGATTGTTTAGGTTTGCTCAAGATGTGTCCAAGTATTGGATGGATTTACCGAGGTATGGCAAAGAGTATATTAATGGTGTTCAGTGTTTCTTGGACTTTGCTTACACTGTTGGAGAACCTCAAGGCGAAGAAATCCAATGTCCTTGTGCAAAGTGTTGTAATATCCGTTGGTATAGAAGGAATGTAATATATGATCATCTAATATGCTACGGATTTGTTAAAGGTTATACAAGATGGATTAATCACGGGGAATGGGATATTGTGATGAAGGTTGATAGTGACAAAGATGAAGTTAACTTAAATGTCAACATTGATGGTAAATCAGTGACAGCAAGTTATCTAAAAATAGATGAAGAAATCAGCAAATTCAAACAGCAATATGCTGACGATGTTGCTTCTATAAGAAGTGACATACAAAAATTAAAGGAAGAAGTAAGAGAATTACGTCATTTTATGAGGGTATTGGTGCAAAACAACCCTGTATTGGGCGTTCAGGACTTGGCTGAGTGTTCCAGCTCTAATCTACTTTCTCGGGCTGATGCAAATAGTGTAGGGGACATGAGAGGCCAAAATATTTCACGTTCCTCTGAATCAACTCATTAGCCATGAAGAGATATTTTGCACTATTTAATATTCCGCTCATTACCATAAGTTTCACCATTGATAAGCTTTAGCTATGCAACACTGAGATACAATTGGTGAATCATGATACTTATATGTTATTGTTGTACAACAGATTAACTAGTGTAGCTACAAAGCGGCTGGATAGAAGTGTCCAAAGTATTCTCAATACCTTTGAATTGATAGAATTTGGAAGACTAGTCTGGGTGCATGTCATCGGTGACAGAATAATTCCATGAAGGACCAAGAAACTCATGATGTAAGTTTTCAGAATGCTAGGACTGCTAACTTGAAATGCATAAGAGGAAAGAGTTATGATGGGTCGCCTATCGTTGTTAGCGTAGCTGAGGGTAAATTGACATTTGTGTTCTTATGTGCACACCTCTGTTTTTGAGACAATAGAGCAAGTAGGACAAATCCCAATAACTTCTTGCGTTGGGCGATGGATAACTTCCAGATATGTTGCTTATGTACTTAGACATTTGAGTTCTTATGTGCACGCACACCTCTGTTTAATTATAAATTCTGTTTCAATGCGAGATTGATTTTACTGTTTTACTTGATTATGCATCCATATGATAGTGAGAAGTTATCAAGAGTTTTCTGGTCTAAAACTCTTTTAATATATCAAATTTTACTTGACATGAATTTTGTAACGCAAATTGTAAAATCTTGCATTCAATCCAATTGTCTGCTTTTAGCATGAATACTTTCTTTGATATCCAATAATTTCAAGGAGTTTTGAGGACCAAGTTTTGTAGAGATATGAGATCAGAAAATGGTTCTTCTAGGGCCTAGGCATAGTTCATATTGATACAACCTCATAATGAATGGAAAAAGTGAATTTTGTGCCTTCTTCTTTTCCTATTTTCATACTTCTGTCTTCTACTATGTCCATACAGTTCCTTTAATATTTGCTTCATAAAGAAGTTCCTGTTTCATGAAAACAATCAGGGATAGATTGTGATCAAGAAATTACTTTTTGATAAATTGACAGTACCAGGAGCTTAACAAAACACAAGATCATGATGAACGAATACACAAACCCAAACATGCAATTGATAATTCACACATTCTTAGTTACAGAGATATAGCAGCAGACGCATTCAGGCACCTAAATAAGGACTAAAGAATCAAACTAGCTACCTATAGCACACAATTACCTCTTCAGCAACAAGTAGGATGCATTGCTTTCTGATCAAACTATGTACATAATTGAAATTCCTGAAAGACATACTTATACTGCTATATTAACCTGTAAACATATGTTCAGATTCAGAGCTGCCCTTCGATCCTTGCATTTGTTAGACCAATGCACGCATCCACAAAATCTTCATTTATGAAGTCTGATGAAAATATTTGTAATCGATCACCATAACCTCGAGAAATACATTCCATTATAAACAACCTTGCATACGGATGAATCCGTTCAGTCACTGGTTTCACCCACAGGACTGGATTATCTGCCTGTGGTGTCACCGTGTTCTCCACTCTGTAAAAGAATTTCCGGGATGTTACTGGTGGTTGCTCACTCAAATACTTCATGTTGCTTTCAAATTTCTTTTCAGGTAAGTCAGTGTCTATCCAGTTATCTTTTAGGTAACACGAACTCCATAAAGGACTTCCTTGGCTAGGTTTAGGTGATTTTCCTGGTTTCCAAACGCATATTATTCGTTTTGGCAATAGCTCCGCAATAGTCTTGTTGAAAACATTGTCATCTTGGTGGATGAGAAACTCCCCTAGCTCAGCCTCCAAATACTTGTCGAAATCAGGTGGATCATCATGACCAAACTCTGTACGGATTTCCAGGATTATTATCTCTGAATGTGTTTCTGATAGGAACTTCTTGACATCGTTGATAACAACATCAACATGGTAGCAAAGAAGGATGCCATGACATACATGTCGATCTTCTTGAACACGAATGTCAAGAACACGAACACCAGTTACCAGTTGCTGGTAAATTGACAAAGATTGGCATTGTGCGAAAGGGCGAGAAATGAATGGGATTCCAATCTCATCAGTTGCAGAATCATGTGTACCTACAAAGGTAAGACATGAAACATTGATATGAAATATCAAATTATGAATCTTAAATTTATAAAATTTAAATTCTGAATCTGCTTTTTGCGTACCTGGCCAAACGATCTGGTTCACATGAAGTTTTTCGGGGGCAAGTGTTGACATCCAATTTTTTCGGTCCTGTACATGATAATCATAACCAGGAAAGTTGCATCCATTTTTCTCCTTGAGATCACACAAGCTTTTCTTTTGAGTATCGATAGCTTTTCGTCTTTCGACTTGTTTAGACACCTCGGCACCCATTCTGAGAATAATTTCTGAAGAAGAAGAAGAAGCAATAAATCACTTCCTCTTCTTCTGGATTTTCTTTCTTTCCTCTGTTTCTATACACTGAAAAGATGAGTTTTTCTGCCTCTTAATATATGCAATTATGCATTCTAGTAAGGCTTAATACATAAGCACCCCACTTATGGTTAGATATTTCATTTAGACCGCAGAATTATGTGTTCTTTCAATTAAACACTTCAATTTCTAATAAAGGGTTCAAATTAGATGTTTTTAGTGAAAAAATTGATTATTATTTTTTGATGTATTTCATTCGTCTATGAGATAGTTAAGTTAATCACATAAAATATGTCATTTTCTTTCGCCTCAATAAGCCATAAAACCCAAAGGCAAACATGACATCATTTTGAACATTTTCTACTTAAGATTGATGTGCATAAGTGATTAGGATAATTATTTAATAGACGAATGAAAACAACTCTTTTTTTTTTACAAAATTTGAATTGAAACACTTTATTAAAAGTTGAGGTGTTTAATTGGAACAAGATTTAATTTGAATGTGAATGTAATATTTTGATAAATTTAAAGGGTTATTATGTATTAAGCTTTTTAAATACATACATTGTGATGTAGGAACTTTCTTCAATTATTCACTTCCTTTTAGATATTTCTTGTTCCAACATAATTATGTCTAACATATATAATATCCAACATATTTTGTGGTTGTAGCGTTGTGGGGGGGATAAAAGTAGACTCTCTCTTTTGTCATTTGTTTAGGTGATGATGGTGGGGCCCTTTGCTTGAATTATTGGTAGAGAGTCATAATCGCTATTTAATTTATCATGTGGCTATAGTCATCCTTATTTTATTTGGTTGACTATTCTTCAAGAATAATATAAAGACAGTTGAATTGAGTAGAATAAGTACACATACACTAGGGTGTACACGACCGGATTAGTTCGGGTTTTTCAAATATCAAATCAAATTATTTGTGTAAAATTTTTAAATTTATAAACCAAACCAAACTAATAAAATTCGGGTTTTTTCAGGTTTTTCAACCTCGGATTGGTTCGAATTTTTCAAATACCAAACTAAACCATTGTATCGAATTTCTAAATTTATAAATCAAACCAAACTAATAAACCTCGATTTTTTTTTCCAGATTTCTGGATTTTTTTGCATACAAACATATAATTAACATGTGCTTCAAATATTTCTATAGTCCAACCAAAATACAATTATCTAAGGTGTTTTTTTTTAAAATAACACAAAATTTGAGATGAGTGATGACACTAAAATATTCAATAAAAAATAATAATAAAATCATCATATAAAATAAATATTACAAAGTCATAATGAAAATGATCATAATTTAAAAGTACTAAATCATGCTAAAATAAGTTTAATAAGTATTAGTTACATTACTAAATATTTAAGGAAAATTAAACTTAGATTATGTATTTTAATTGTCTAAACCAATGTACAACTAAAGAACAAATATTCAATATTATTGTCATTCTTAGTGTTGAATTGATTTTCTTTTTGCATTAGTATTAATTTGATTTTGATTTAAGTTTTATTATAATTATCAACATCTATGAATTACTATAATCTTTATTGGACCATTCCGAATTCTAAGTTTTAAACTTGAAATAATATATTAAAAGATAAAAACTATGATATAGTATAAGAAATATTTTAAAATTATATCAAAGTAAATATTTTTATGTATAAAATAAAATTTTAAAATTACATATATAATATCGGATTGTTTTTTTTTAGTTAAAACCAAACCAACCCAAATATAATCGGGTTTTTTTTTCCAATACCAAACCAAGTCAAACCAAATCACTAGTCGAGTTTTTTGTTCGATTTGACTCAGTTTACGATTTGATTCGATTTTGTACACCCCTAAATTACATACTAATGAATTTGATTATTGAATAAGAAAAAAAGGGAAATTTTCAAAAATATATAGTCAACTAACTTACCTGAGTTACAACCTTCTCTATATTTTATTTACACTCTGAATACATTAATATTTTCTTTCTTTAGACTTTTTACAACAACCAACATTTACTTACCATATATATATACTAATATCCTTGTATATGCAATGTATTCATTATAGACAAAGGAAAAAGAGATGGAAAAAACAAGCCTAGTTATATTGCTTTGTTTTATTCTTATGTCAATGGTTCAAGGTGTTGTATTAGGACCCAAAGCTGTTGAAAAATGGTTCAAGAAGCTTCCTCATGCAAAGCAAAAGGTAACTAAATTTCATTTCTATTTTCATGACATAACTAGTGGGAAAAATCCAACGGCAGTTCCAATAATCAAGTCCAAATCCCCAACTTTCTTTGGGTATGTTGCAATGATTGATGACCCACTGACAGTTGGACCCGAGGTCAACTCGACTATAGTGGGTCGAGCCCAAGGGATTTATGGTGGAGCCGGTCAAAAGGAGGTTGCCCTTCTCATGACCCTCAACTTTGTGTTCACAACTGGCAAGTATAATGGTAGCACGTTGAGTGTACTTGGTAGGAACCCGGCATTTCATAAGTATCGTGAGATGCCTATTGTTGGTGGTTCTGGAGTTTTTCGATTGGCTCAGGGAATCGCCACTGCAAAAACCTATTGGTTGAATGCTACCGATGCTATTGTTGAGTACAATGTTATAGTCCTGCATTATGACATTTGATGTGCTTTGCTTTTTTAATTTTCATTTGTAATTTCATGTTCATTATATTTGAATAAGTCAAGCAAGATAAAACAATTGCTAAGCGAATTAGGGTCATCATAAATTAAATGGGAACTCTAATTTTAGATATATTTTTCAAAACTATATAAAAATGCTATAAGTCATGATACTAACAATTTTATTGAATGAAAGGACTTTTATACACCAAATCTTCAAAATTAAGAAGTGGATGAACATATCCGAGTAACTGAACTAGGCATCTAGGTGAAGCTATTCATATCATTTGCTTCCCCCTCCCCCCCCCCCCCCAATCATGAGGGAGGTTTGCTAAAGACATATAGAACGGCCAAATTATCCACTAATGTGAGACTCAACACAATTCACGCCCAGAATTGGACATCCGGGGTATGAGTAATTTAAAAATCTTCTTGTATGAGTGAGTACAAACAATTTCTATATTACTGCCAAATATAGAAATTTTTGATGTACCGAACAATCCTTAATGCAACTTCCACGTCTGTCCTGAGTATTAATATCATTTTTACTAAAGATAAGTGTCAAAAACATATCTAAACTATTTTTTGTTTTGAGTTTCATGCTTAAATTATTGGAAGTGTGAGTTTCATACCTGAACTATCACTTATTAATTTGAGAAATACATCTCAGTGGTGTTTGTAATACACACTCTCTTTTATATGCAATAACTTTGCCACATGACATTGCATATAGATAAAATATTTTACCTTGACAAAAATTAAATAAACTATTAATATAGTTAAAAGTTATAGATTAAAGTATTACTATCTAAAAATAAATAAATAAAATTTTTAATAGTTTTCTCACCCCACTCCACCACCTCCCCCCCACTCCCCGACTATCCCCCGTTAAAAATAAAAAACTCTACCCAACCCCATCTTCCGCTCTTAATTTATTTTTATATCTTTTACATTTTTCTCGTTTTGTGTTAAATATATACATTTCTTTTTAAGAAAATATTATTTTCTACTTGTGTACCGAATATAACAAATATAAAATTTTATTTTAAAAAAGGTCTAGCGGCAAATAAAATATACTTTTCTAATATATATATATATTATTTGAAGGGATTTTTTTTTTTTTGGGGGGGGGAGGGGGGAGTACGGTGAGAGGAAGTGGTGGAGTTGGGTAAGAAAAATATTTTACATTTTATTTTATAGATTACTTTAATTTTTAACTTAACTGATACTACTAATTTATTTAATTTTTGTCAAGGTGAAATGTTTTTTCCATGTGGAGTGTCATGTGATAATTTTTTTAAAAAAGAAAGTCTATTACACACACCATTATGAAAGTGGAATAAAAGAAGGAGGTATGTTTCTCAAACTAATACGTGATGGTATAAGTATGAAATTCATACTCAAAAAAAGACATAAAATCACTATTGAAGTTGTTCCATATTTTCATAAAGACACCTTAACTTTGGAAGTGTCCTATCACCCCCACAGAACTTTTTGATATCTTTGTAAATGAGTCATTTTGACTCATTCCCTCGTCTGAGTTGTCGCACGTGATGCTCACTCTTTTCAACCCATTCAGCTCGACCCGATTCTTTACTAAAGTAGAAAAATCTTTTTTTCTTTGTTATTTCTCAGCTTCCCAAATTCTTCACTTTTTCTTGTCTCTCTATCAAGGAACTCAAGAACAAGAGGAAGGAGAGAGCGCAAATAGCATATGAGAGGAGAAAGCAGTTGGCAAAACTTAAAGTTAAGGCTGAGAAAGTTGCTGAGGAGAAGCTTGGACCTCAACTCGCCATTATTGCTCCAATCAAGAATTGAATTGGGACATAGTTATTTTGAAGTACAATTTTGTTGAAAATCGATATCGTCTTATAATTATCTTTTTCTGTGAATTTTTTTTCTCTTTTTGTTTCTCTTTCTTGGTGTTGTAATTGGGTTTTGCTTTGATTTTTGCCTTTCTCTGTTTTTGGGTTGAATTTGTTTTAGTATTTTCTCACTTGGGTGTGAACAATTTTTGTTGGGTTTGAGTTTTTCAGTCAAATTAGGATTTCGAAATAGAGGGAATTTGAGAATTGATTGCTCAATTGAGACTTTAAGAAAGTTGTTAATGGAGATGATTATATAGAAGAGCTTGAAAATGGTAATGTTGAGTTTGAAACGGTAATGTTTTGGGGAAGAAGATGATTTAAAGCACTTAAATAATTAATAAAGAAAACCAGTGAAATGTGGCACTTTTTAATTGGGTTTTCAGAAAAAACAAACATTCACGCGCATGTTGTGCGTGTTCACAAACCAATTGAGAAAATGGGTCAAAATGACCCTTTTACAACATTATTCAATACTTTTGTGGGGGTAATAGGACACCCGTATAGTTAAAGTGTCTTTTTGAAAATTCGAGACAATTTCAGGTGTCACTTTATGTCTTTACTCATTCATACTCTCAATAGTTTAGGTATGAAACTCAAAAGGGAATAGTCTAGGTGTGCTTTTGATTCTTATCTAAGATGATGTCTTTTTCATTAGAGGAAGAGCTAGTAGTCCGCATGTGAGTTTCATTAGATTTTATTTAAATAATTAATTTGTATTAGTAAATTTATTAAAAATGTACAAATATTAAATTTAAAATTCATTTATTATCACTTAAAATTATTATTATAAAAATCAAAACTCATATTCTAACTTTTTGGGTAATTAATTTTCTTTTGTGGGCTTTATCCTTTAGCAACGAGCTTTTCTTTAAATCTTTCTATTTCTTCGTAAGCTTTATACTTATTTTATTTGGTTGACTATTCTTCAAGAATACAACTTTAAGGAGTCATTTGATAGGATGTATTAATTAAAATAGTCCTTGAATTAAAATTTAATTCATTCAATACAATGTTTGATAGCACATTTCAACTCAAACTCATCTAATACATGAATAACTTAACACACCATATGTGGTCTTATCTAATACAAAGGATACCTAGGGATTACTAATACCATGTTTAATAAGCCTTGGATAAGACAACAAAATGACTGAACTACCCCTCAATCTCTTTATACAGTCTTCAGAATTGGTAAAGAAACACAGGATGTCCCTCAACTAAATTTTCATTAATTTTTTTTGACATGACAAAATAAATTACTTTTTATATTATATTCATAATTAAAATAATAAATAAATAAATAGTGAATGCAGCATATCAATGGCTCTCAGAGTCGTCACTAATCCAGTATTGAATTACGTTCCAATTTATTTACTGAAACTGGCCAGGACAGTAATGAAATTGGCTTGCAATATAATATTAATGGCCTTGGCTAGCAATATTACGCCCCATTTTATTCAGGTAAGGTACTGTTCTTGCCAGTTTGAATTATAATAATTTAGATCCGCTTATAAACTTCAATTTGTCGAATTAGTTTAGTAGTTAAACTCTATTAATGTATATATGATATTGAAAATAATTTATTTTACCATATTAACTTTTTTAATGCTAAATTTAGTCAAGTGATTTTATTGATACAAAGATTAAAATTGAGTGATTTTATTGATACAAAATAAATTTTAATAACTTTGTTAGATAAATTCCCCAAATTGAGTGACCTTTTGAGATATTAACTCTTAAAAATGTGATGTATCATTTAAATAATGTCAAAACCATCCAACACAAATATTGGGGACTGTAACAATTCATTTCTCAAAATAGTCATATTTGAGGGGATATGATAATGTGATGAGTAATATTGGCCAATGGAATGCATGGAAGCTTACCAACGGAATGAACATGAAAATATGTCAGAATGCTATACATAAAATAAAAAATCACATAATAATTCAAGGGTATAATTGAAAATAAGCTTCTTGTAGAGTCTTAAACCACACACAAGATTAGGTTGGAAATAATGAACCAAACACTTGATAAAAAATAATCCCTGCATTGCTAATCCCTGCATTGTTAATCCCTGCATTACTAATCCCTGCATTATCACTCTTTCTACCAAACGACCCCTAAATGCTATAAAATGTTGTCACCCTTTATTCGAAGTGTGGGTTATATGCAGGGATGGCAATAGGGCGGGGCGGATGCGGGGCGGGGTGAGTTTAAGGCTATGTGGGGTGGGGCAGGGCGGGTTTAAGGTTATGTGGGGCGGGTTGAAGTGAGTTTTTTTAAAATTAATGTGGGGCGGGGCGGGTTGCGGGTATATGTGATTTTATGTGGGTTCAAATTTAATTTTAAATTTTTACATGTTATAAGAGTGATGTAGCTTTATTTATTAAGATAATTTCATTAACGCTACTAAATATTCAAGATAATAAATAAAAATGGTTCAATAAAAAATAATACAATTTCTTGCATGTTTCCCAATTGGCCTCTAAAAAATAAAATTTTAAGTCACTATCCTATTAAATTAATACAACTTAATGAAAAAATGAATTTATTTTTATGAAATTTATTTTTAGTATCAAACATAACAAGAAAAAGAAAATATTAAAAAAGATTATGCGAGACGGGTTCATGCGAGGCGGGTCTATGCGAGGCGGATTGAAAATGAAAAGAGTTGTTATCCGAGGCCGGACGGGGCGAATTAAAAATTTTGTGGGTTAAAGTCAACCCGCACCGTCCCCTCCCTACACCACCCCATTGCCATCCCTAGTTATATAGCGACAATTGAGTTGAGGTAGAATAAGAACACTAAGAAAAAAGGGAATTTTTTCATAAATATATGATTCAATATAAAATATTATGTCGCATAATATAATATATCAATTTTATATAAAAACATTTAAAAAGTGTTTACCCATAAATATAAACTAAATCTAATAACAAACTCAAAATACAGGCTAAAACATGTAAATATTTTCCTAGAAGACAGAACATAATCGTTCCATTAAAAAGGATATACTAGTTACAATAGTTTAACATTTTACATAACATTAATTGTTTGGAACATGGGTTGCAATAGTTTGACCTAACGTGCACATTAATGTAATGGTAACCAAAATAATATTATCAACATTGATTGTGGTATAGTGATGAAATTACTTCATATTTTATTAGAGGTTTCGATTTGAATTGTGTACATGATTCAGATTTAGTCAAAGCTTTCAGGGAGACACCAAACACCGCGTGGGATTTAAAAAAAACACCAAAATTATATTAGCCGCCTGTAACGTGCATAGTGGAGATTGATGTAATGCATATTTTTTAAAATACTCTGAATACATTAATCTTTTGACATTTTCAACAACCAACATCTACAATACTATATATTGGGATTTTTTTTCTCATGTCCTTGTATATGCAATTCATTCATTATCAACAAAGTAGAAATTAAGAGATGGAAAAAACATGCCTACTTCTATTGCTTTGCTTTATTCTTATGCCAATGACTCAAGGGGTTGAATTTGGACCCAAAGCTGTTGAAAAATGGTTCAAGAAGCTTCCTCATGCAAAACAAAAGGTAACTAAATTTCATTTTTACTTTCATGACATAGTTAGTGGGAAAAATCCAAGTGCAGTTCCAATAATCCAGTCCACATCCCCAATTTTTTTTGGGTATGTTGCAATGATAGACGATCCATTAACAGTTGGACTTGAGCCCGACTCGACTATAGTGGGTCGAGCCCAAGGGATTTATGGCGGAGCTGATCAAAATGAAGTTGCCCTTCTCATTTTTTATTTTTTTTTTTTACCGTGGTTTCCGGGCGTCGCTTTGCGAACCCGACTAGCTGTACCCACCGGGTCCCGCTGTTTCAAGGCGGGTCCACCACGGTTAGTTCCACGGGGCCCTTCTCATGACTCTCAACTTCGTGTTCACAACTGGAAAGTATAATGGTAGCACGTTAAGTGTACTTGGCAGGAACCCAGCACTTCATAAGTATCGTGAGATGCCTATCGTTGGTGGTTCGGGAGTTTTTCGATTGGCTAAGGGAATCGCCACCGCGAAAACCTCTTGGCTGAATTCTACCGGTGCTGTTGTTGAGTACAATGTTATAGTCCAGCATTATGACATTTGATGTGCTTTGTTTTTTGTTTTTTTTTTAATTTGTAATTTCATGTTCATTATAGTTGAATGTATACTTCTATAGTTTATGTATTTTGTTGTTAGAATAAAGATGTGTATTGATCAATGAAATGAAACCTTTGATCGAGAATTCAGACATAAAATCTTGATTTTTTAATTTTCTTTTTACATATTTAAAAACTACATAAAAATTAATATAAGTCATGACTCATGATATTACCAATTTAAATTTAAATAATCTGAAGGTCAAAGCATACGCCCGGCGTATATATAGTTGAGAAAAAAAAAAAAGGTGTGTAGGCAACTAGATGATTATATTATTATTAGGGTCATAATAAATGGGAACTCTTTTTTATTTTATATATAAGTGAACAACTTTAATTCTTAGTGAATATAAAATTTATTGAATGAAAGAACTTTTATCCACCAAATCTTCAAAATTAAAAGGTGGATGAATAGATCTGAGTAACTGACAAACTCACTCCAAAGCTAGCTCACGAGGTAAGAATTGTTCAAGAAATATAAAAAGGCCAAACTATCTTTATACCACCATATTGATATACCTTACAATCCTTAATGCAACTTGTTTAACAACACTGAGTCTCATTTTACAATATAATCCTCGTCCCCAGCCAACCAATTGAATACCTAAACATCCTCCCATACAATGCCTCAATGAAGTCATCTCAATACTCGAGTGATAAATATTATTGTATGTAAACTTAACTACAACAAAATCGATTCTCAACAACGCCACCGAAGTTGATCGTACACACGTCTACAATATGTTATCAAGGACCTTGACACAATCATCCAGGCGAATCATTTAACACGATAAAATTCCAAGTGAATACTCGCTACAAATAGAAGTGAACCTGAATCAACCAACACACTCATAATTCCCAAACAATCATAGTTCTTAACAATATCTTCATCCCACAACATAAATTCTCATGAGCTTAAGTTATAACAAATTTGATTCTTAAACATTAGATACTCATCGAGAGATATGTCCAAGCATACAAGCCCTCTAACCACACTATCGAATGTTGGATTTAGCAATTGTAGATTACCTCTTAAGAATAGTAGAATTGGACCCCAACGATCCCCACATTCAACCACACACAATCAATACATGACCTCGATGACTAGATGAATGTTAAGATTGTCGGACAACCATATATTACACAGGGTTACTCTTCTATGGATTCTCATAAGCAAGGTGATATACGTAAAACCACTGAAATACTTTAGCCACTCCAAGACAGCATCACATAAGTCATCTGAAATAACCACGTCTTCCCAATCATCACACTCAACCAAGAGAACATCACAGGATCGGTACACCGGATCCACCTCTAGGGATCCACCCACAAAGTGAAAACACACGTGGCTTAGCTAGTGAATCATACTCACAGCCATCATGAACACTTCGACCATTTACCTTACTCTAAACCAACACTTTAAAATGAAACCCTTTCTTAGATACTTTAACAATCAAAAGTAATAAACTTTACGACTCAAACCAAGTGTAAATCTTTTCAAAAGTTCACTACCTGATACAATTGATCATTTCTCACATTTCCAATTCATACCTTGACAACATATCTCACCACGAATGTAGACTTACAATGAAAAACATGAATTGTAAATTCAACCGTATAACACCATCCCCTTATCTATCAACATTAGCTTGTACCTTGAAGATTTTTTATGAATTCATGGATCTTCGCTTATCATTGATCGCATCTCCATCAATCTTACAATATCCTTCGCTAAAATTTCATCATACTCATTACTAGACTCAAAAACAAAACCAAGCACTTGTCATCACACTCAAGCTAATGTCTGCACACTCCTTTCTCAAGTCTTTTTCGATAGTTTTTTACTCATCTAATGGACCCATGACACTATTACCATAACCACAACAAAACAATGAAATCACGCGTCTCTGAACCCAATTATCTACCCCACTAAATATATCTCTTTAGCTCTTGCAATCAAATAAAATATTCTTGCTCTAGCCTCTCTCTAAAGGTAGTACTATGTCCCACTATATTTTCCTTTATTATAACTCTAGCTCTTTAACATTCTATTCGAGTGGTGTCCCACCATCTCTTAAACTTTTCATACAACTACGTTACTCACTCAATATTAGAAACCCACGACCTTAGATACTCGCTATTCGTACTTACTACACAAAATTCGCTTTACCAACAATCTTATTATATAGTTGCATCCCATCACAATCAATCACGAAATCATACCACCATTACACTCGGTTAGCCCTGACTATCACTACGAAGTCAACCTTTTCATCGACATGACACCTTAAAGTTAGGTATACCCATCAAATTCAAAGGGCTAACCCAATTTTATACACATTTACTTACTAAACTGTTCAATTACCTTCACCCAAGTATACTCAATGGGACTTTATTTATCCATAAGCTTGTCATTTCGGTATTAATCCACTCTACTATGGCTCAAGATAAAATCACCAATTCTTATACTACCCTCTTTCTTCTTAACAACAAGACAAGAGCACCCCACGGGGAAGCACTAGGATGGATGAAACCTTATCAAGAAGCTCTTGGATTTGAGCCTTAATCTCTCTTAAATCTGCTAGAGCCATATGATACGAAGGGATGGAAAATGGGGCGAGTGCCAATTTCCAAGTCAATACAGAAATCTATATCTCTATCCGAAGGCATACCAGACAAATCCGTAGGAAACCCTTCCTCCTTAAACTCAGACACCACATGAACAGACTCAATAGACGGAGACTCAACCTCAACATCCCAAACATGAGCCAAATAAGCCAAACAACCCTGCCCTACCAGTTTTCTAGCCCGAATGGAGGATATGATCTTAGCTAGCTTAGGCTTGTGCACCCCATCCCACTCTAATCTTTCTCTACCAGGGATCTCTAGAGTTACCGACTTAGTATTACAAGTAAGCTCAATATAATAAGGGGGGGACAACCAAGTCATGCCTAAGATTATATCAAGTCAATCATATCCAACATAACCAAATCAACCAAAATTTGAAAATCCATAGCCACAACAGGACAACACGATACATATGGGTGTCTATGACTGTCTATTCAACTGGGGTAGAAACATGGATGAGGGCATCAAGTATATCACAAACCACATCAAATCCCAAGGCAATTGAACTGACACATACGAATAAATAGAACCCGGATCAAACAAAAGAATAGTCATTCGGGCAGATACAATAGTAGCACTAGTGACCATTGCATCACACACCTCAAACTCAATCTTGCCCGAAAAAGCATATAACTGAGCCCTGTCGTCTTAACATGCAACTTATTCTCCTGGCTGCGCTACCCTTCTACCTGTATTACCATTTCCCCGGCCTCCACGACCTCGCTGATTTCCTCCACATATGCCAAGGTTCTTCATAATTTTTAACACACATTATAACTTATATTCGATTGTTGAACACTGAATTAGATCGCAGGGGTTAGTTCGGGTACGATTCAGGGTCCATAATTGTGACTAGGGAAAATAAGAAAGACATGGCTGAGGTTCTGTCTCGCCCTGTCCCACTCTGGCGAGAGGAATCCCGCACTAGCGGCCTCGCCTTGGCAGGAAAATCCCGCCCCAGCGGCCCCGACGGAAACAAAATCCCTGCCAACAATATTTCTGGGGTTCTTTTCTTTCCCAATTTTCCCCAATGGTTCCCATCTTTAACACATGCATTTTTAGAGTACTCAATCCCCGTAGCTAGGATAATTGTTGTCTACCCCTCGGTCAACCCAACAGAGTACGCACTTTAGAATCCTTTTACATCGTTTCAACACTACCACACACGTATCCCCAGGATACACCCAGACTCTCACACGGTTAACAGTTGGTCACAACGCACGTCCAGATTTTTTGCTTACGAACCATATCGTAATTTATCTAGACCCTTGCACCTAATTTCGTGATGACTTTCTTTACACAACAAGTTTCACGACACTCAAAAGTCCAAATTCTTTAATTAGTTTGTTCCATAGACGACAATTAGTGATCCTATGCCTTATACGACCCCTAAGGTCAGATACCAATTAAAACCTTCTCAGTTCCAATTAACTTGCTTGTGTCCCTTCAGTAGGGACTATGACATCTAGTTCACTTTGTTGAGATACCAATTAGAATCGGGAGATACCAATTGGACTCGACTCATACCACAAGCGACAATAGTAGCTAGCGAGCCCCACAAAACTGCTAATTTCAATCCTAAAACTTGGTCGAACCCAATTCTTAACCACCTCAATCTTTAACTGATGGTAACCAGACCTTAAATCAATCTTAGAGAAAACCGATGCACCTTGCAATTGGTCAAAAATGTTATCTATCCGAGACAATGGATACTTGTTTTGAATGGTGACCATATTCAACTGTCGGTAGTCTATACATATCTTATCTTGCTAGTGATGGTGTTACCACTTTTGTTGGTCTAATTCGGACCATAGAGTGAATGAGGAAAGATACCAATTTGTATCTCCCAAATTGGATTCAAGTCATAACACGAATGAGTAGAAAGAAGTGAGTTTTTTCTAAAGTCCTATAGCCTTTCGAAGAAAAATACGAACGTCATTGTACCATTCCGTAAGACTTTACTAGACTCATTTTTGTACAATGAGATCAACGAACCTAGGGCATTGATACCAACTTTGTCACGACCCAGACCATCGTGATTGACACCTACAATAACCCTCCGGTGGGAGAACCATTACTATAACCCAGAATAAACAACTTAACCAAAAACTATGCATTTAAAGATACGGAAGCAGATTTAAATGACAATAAAAATACAGAGTTCCCATAAACTCCAAAAGTTTAAACAAAACTAACCAAACTAATGCAGAAATACCCCTAGAACCTGAAAGTCATTGTACTAAAATTCTACTAGCTACAAGCCCAAGAACAAGGGGTACAACCTTGAAGCTAAACAAAACACCTTAAACAAATAGTCTGA